CACCAAATAATGTTCTTTTTAGCAACGTCATATGACCCCTTTAATAGAATGGGATTAAATACATAAAGGATATTTGTGTTTTTTAACATTTAATTATTGCAGGTTTGCGTCATATTCTGAGTTGCATTATTTTTATTCATTTTGAGGAATACTGAATCTGTGTTTTTTGTTTTTTTGTGAGTGATGAATTAATGCATATTCATATTTATTTTGAACTACAGTAACATCTTCTGATTTCTCTCAACATGGGGACAGGAGAGCTGTCAATCAATAAATTGGAAAAAAAGTAACTTGCGTTACTTATTTGAAAAAGTAACTCAGATATTCTCTTGTAAATTAAAAAGTAATGCGTTACTTTACTAGTTACCTGAAAAAAGTAATCTGATTACGTAACTCGCGTTACTTGTAATGCGTTACCCCCAACACTGCTGAAGACTGGAGTAATGATGCTGAAAATTCAGCTGCGCATCACAGAAATAAATTACATTTTAACATATATAAAAAAAAAACAGTTATTTTAAATTTTGATCAAATAAACGCAGTCTTAATGACGATAAGAGACTTCTTTCAAAAACATTAACAAATCTTACTGACCCCAAAGAGTAGTGTATATATGAAATAAAAATACTAAATATAATAACTTGTACAATTTTTATTAATTTTAATAAAATACCACAAAAATATTTTTTAAAATATTACACTATCATACAAACAACCAGTTAGTACACTAATTTAAAGTCTCACAAGCCACAAAATATTTAATTTACAGTTCAGTAAATCAGTCCAATAAACTCAGTGACCACTTTGACCAATTCATACGTTTTTTTTTAATTCACTAAAAAGAACCAAAGAGTTATTAATTTCCAAAATAGTGAACTAGACTTCCATCTGCATATGAAATTCTTGAATAGTAACTGAAGAAAGTTTGCATATTTTAGTACAGTGTTCAGTCCGCAATGGAACCAAAGGTCATGTAAAATCATTTGGTTACAGCATTTTACTACCACAGGGTTTCAATCAATTATGTAGAAAGCTGAAATGTGTGGAAGCATCCATTAATCAGCTGAAGATGGTTACCTGGAGGTTGGATAGTTGGGTAAAAGTTTTCTCACAGCCGGGATGGGAACACTTGTATGGCCGATCGCCAGTATGAATCCTTCAAAACAAAACAAAACAAAGCTTTTCTTTAGAACGTTTGAACTAAAGATCACATGAATGCATTCTGCAGTGCTAAAATATGTTTCCAGGAAGCCTACACAATCATCTCAACTACAGCATGACGGACCACAGAGGAGGAAGGAATAATGGAAAAGGAGAATCCAGGAGAAGAGCAGGACGGCTGCTGTATACGGTTGGTTACTGATTCTATCTGTCCCTGTCTGTTACCTGTTATGCTGCTGTAAGTGACTGAGCTGCCTGAAGGTTTTCTGGCAGTAGGAGCAGGTGTAGGGTTTGGCGCCGCTGTGGATGCGGATGTGCTGGGACAGGTAGCTGGAGTTGGCAAACGATTTGGAGCAGTGAGGACACTTGTGCGGTTTGCCCTCTGTGTGGTTTCTAACAAGGGATGAAGGGAAGGGGATGAAAAGAGAGAAACAAACAGAGAGAGATTTACCAGTGAATCAATAAACGAGCCCTACTTGGATCAAATCGTGATCGTATCATCAAACAGGTCGCAGGTTACATGCGTTTAGCAATGTGACGGTGCTCATTGTGGTGTCTGAGTTATGAAACGCAGCACACAGAAACACAAGGCACTTTATCTTATCCTATCTCTCTCTCTCTCTCTGTAAGTGACTGAGCTGCCTGAAGGTTTTCTGGCAGTAGGAGCAGGTGTAGGGTTTGGCGCCGCTGTGGATGCGGATGTGCTGGGACAGGTAGCTGGAGTTGGCAAACGATTTGGAGCAGTGAGGACACTTGTGCGGTTTGCCCTCTGTGTGGTTTCTAACAAGGGATGAAGGGAAGGGGATGAAAAGAGAGAAACAAACAGAGAGAGATTTACCAGTGAATCAATAAACGAGCCCTACTTGGATCAAATCGTGATCGTATCATCAAACAGGTCGCAGGTTACATGCTTTTAGCAATGTGACGGTGCTCATTGTGGTGTCTGAGTTATGAAACGCAGCACACAGAAACACAAGGCACTTTATCTTATCCTCTCTCTCTCTCTCTCTCTCTCATTCTCTCTCTCACCAGCTTCCTTTCCCCTCCCTAACTATCGGGTAATATGAAACGAGCCAGAGCCTTTAAACCAGAGCAGATGAAGATAAGCAGAGTAAGATGGAATTCAATTAAAGACTCTTTCTTGTCCAACAGCATAGAAATGACATGGAAAGAAGAGAAAGAAGACATGACACAAGCCAGATAACGTAGAGAAGAAACACAGATAATACAGAAGCAAATGGAGACAAAATGACATGCGTTTAAGCCTTCCAGCCTGCTAGGCTTCAATTAAAGTGTATTTATGGTTAATATAGTTGCTATTAGTTTTTACAAACTAAGGGATGATTTAAAATTATTGTCTGTGATAATTAATATCATCACAGAAATAGTTCATAAACTGTAGTTAAAAATAACCCAGAATATTACACGACATTGCGTCAAATAGCTAAACAACAGGGCTGCTTATTGACACATTGATTTTCCTTTTTTATTTTTAATTCAGCTATTATTTTGTCTTGTGGATTATACATATACTTAGTCCGCTGCTTCGAATATGGGCGGGAGCAGGATATGACAATAATAATAATACACTTGTGTATAATAATTATATTGCTTTCTCTCTCTCTCTCTCTCTCATTCTCTCTCTCACCAGCTTCCTTTCCCCTCCCTAACTATCGGGTTAAATATGAAACGAGCCAGAGCCTTTAAACCAGAGCAGACGAAACAGACATGATGAAGATAAGAGTAGTTGGAATTCAATTAAAGACTCTTTCTTGTCCAACAGCATAGAAATGACATGGAAAGAAGAGAAAGAAGACATGACACAAGCCAGATAACGTAGAGAAGAAACACAGATAATACAGAAGCAAATGGAGACAAAATGACATGCATTTAATCTCTCTCTCTCATTCTCTCTCTCACCAGCTTCCTTTCCCCTCCCTAACTATCGGGTAATATGAAACGAGCCAGAGCCTTTAAACCAGAGCAGATGAAGATAAGCAGAGTAAGATGGAATTCAATTAAAGACTCTTTCTTGTCCAACAGCATAGAAATGACATGGAAAGAAGAGAAAGAAGACATGACACACAAGCCAGATAACGTAGAGAAGAAACACAGATAATACAGAAGCAAATGGAGACAAAATGACATGCGTTTAAGCCTTCCAGCCTGCTAGGCTTCAATTAAAGTGTATTTATGGTTAATATAGTTGCTATTAGTTTTTACAAACTAAGGGATGATTTAAAATTATTGTCTGTGATAATTAATATCATCACAGAAATAGTTCATAAACTGTAGTTAAAAATAACCCAGAATATTACACGACATTGCGTCAAATAGCTAAACAACAGGGCTGCTTATTGACACATTGATTTTCCTTTTTTATTTTTAATTCAGCTATTATTTTGTCTTGTGGATTATACATATACTTAGTCAGGACAGTACTAAATAAACATGCATTCGTACTGTCAAATGTGCATTTCTAAGGGGAAAAAAAAAAAGTAATATTAATATTGCAGCCTGCACTGCAAACTGTGCAAACCTGTTTCATGATTCGAAACAATTTATTACTTATTAGAACATCAAGAAACTTTTTTTTATCAATAAACTATTTTAAGAAAAAATGACAGGAAAAGTGTAAAGAATTCAAAAACGTGAAGTGTCTGTCATATTCTGATCATAAAGAGTAGTTTAAAACTACAATTAACAGTCTGGTTTCTACAACTTTCACTTAGGAGCAAAAATCTGCCTTTAAACCAAAAGAAATAAAGATTTGAAGGTTATTGCGATAATTATCGATATCGACTGATATGAACAATTTTATCCTGACAGTTTTTTTGGCCATATCGCCCAGCCCTATGCAAAATTATTGTAAAATTGTATACTCCTGAAAACTCCCATAAAAGAGTATAGAAAATCTTTGAGTCCCACGGAGGAGCTCCGGAAGGATAAAAGGAGGAGTGACGACAGTGAAAGACGAGAGAGGACCAGGCCTGGACTTTATTTTGTGTTTTGTGTGCGGCAGTCGTCCGCGAGGGGCTGCCGCTTTACTTTCATTTTGTGTTTGTTTATTTTATTAAAGTTTTCTTTAAATGTTCGCCGGTTCCCGCCTCCTTCTTCCCGTGACTATGAACGTTGTAACAATCTTCTTTTGTGTTCTGCTGAAGAAAAAAGTCATACAGATTTTGAATGAAATGAGTAAATATTCTGGCAAAAATCTGAGCTTTGAATGTAGCTTTGGATAAAAGTGTCTGCTAAATTGCAAATGTAATGGGAGGTGAATTGCTGGAAAGCAGGAAACATGATACAGTGAGAGCTTTCCTAACATGTAAGATCAAGCCAAAGAAATGTTACATAAAAATACTGCTTTTAGAATGAAAAAAAAAAACAGACATCACACTGTGTCTCCCACTAATGGTCATAAAAATAGACATGAAATATTATTATATAAGCTGTTTATATTCTGTAAAATTTGACATAAAGTGCACTTGGTAAAGGCCAGATGCATTTTAAGGAAGGACACCATGATTTGCCCCCAAGAAATAGTCCAATGTGCATTCAGTGGGCCATCAATTTACTAACTCCAAGTAAAGAATTATACAATCAGACAAAACAAAGACTGATGGAAGGGTGAGTTAAGAGGAAGCGAGATGTTAGTTACAAGAAATGAGTATTGCATTATGCCTGAATAATTCCCACCTCTGCTTTAGATCATGTGTGCATAAAAAAAGAATTGATTTCCGCATAATGGGGTTCTGTGATATTTACTGTAGATTGACATTACAGGATCAAAATTTATGCTGATATTTTTCAACTTATAGTTAAAGGTCTCTCGAATTGTTATGAATAGCTTGATTTTCAGTATAACAGTGGTATTTTAATGGTTTTGCCTCAGGATCCAAATTTTACACAGGAACAAATTTGTTAATAGTACAAAAGTCCTTACAAGTCCTTAGAGAAATTGAAATGTGTTAAATTTACTATGGACTACTGCATATACAGTACCATTCAAAGGTGTTTTTTTATACTCTTATTTGGCAAGGATGCATTAAATTAAATCAAAAGTGACAGTAAATACATTTTTAATGTAACAAAAAAAATATATTTCAAATAAATGCTTCTTATTCATCAAAAATCTTGGGGAAAAATTATCACGGTTTTCACAAAAATATAATAAGCAGTACACATTTATAACTAAAATGGATGCTTAAAAAACTTTGGCTTTACCGTCACAGGAATACATAATATTTTAAATAGAAAACAGTAATGTATTTTTGATAAAAATAAATAATAAAATGAAATTAAGAAAAAAAAAATACAGCATTGGTGATTATACAATACTTTCAAAAACATAAAATTTCACAGACCTAAACTTTTGAATGGTTGTGTATAATATGCAAATGGATTATCATAGCTTAGGTTGAATAGGAAAACTGACAAATTTGTAAATACATAAACAACAGAGGAAGTGTTATTTACCCACCTAACATATGGGCAAACACTGAAAATGGAAATGGGTAAATGGGAAGTGTTTTTATTTGCATTTTCATAGTACAAATCCATCAGTTGAGAACCATTGTTATATACCATATTAATAACTAATTATTCCAGTTTGTCAGTAATATGTGGGAAATTTTAAGAAAAAAATGTATTCTAAAGCACTGCTGAACATACCAAACAAAGAACTGCTTTGTAATCGTATGTGTGCATTATTTCTAAAGGTTAGACATAAAAAAAATGGTTCACCATGGCCACAAACCAAAGTTAACAGAATTACAATGAGACAGCAAAATGTCTGTGGGCATTTATGGAAGTTTACAGATTCTGATTTGATGTCAAACTAACATGAATCTGCCCATCATAGCTCAGTTATGATGTCATGAAGCTTTAATAATAACAAACCGAAACAGTATATATTCAAATGCCCATCAACTTCAATCTCCACTGTATCGAAGATTCCCTTCTCGGCTGACTTTTGTGATCAATTCAAAGCTCTGTTTTTTTTTTCTGTGGCTTTGTTTGGAAGGTGCATGATGGGTAATAAAAGGCCGGACACCATGCACTTCCATTCAGGCTCTGTGACCTCTGAAAAGTACTCAAACAAGTGACCTTTCCTCCAAAGAGACCTCGCTGGGGGGCTTTTAAAACGATAAACAATGACAGAAAAACGTTCACAGATGCTAACTGTTGCAAAGTGGTTTCAACGGCTTGTTGACATTCAACATGCGAGACAAGACCAGCCTTGTGCGCACACACTGAGGCAGTTTAATAAACTAAATACAGACAACAATGTATTTACAGTAGTATTTTGGGCCATAGAAGGAGCGCCAGAGACAAAACTGTATTTCATTGGTCTGAACAGCTGCGGGCCTGTTGCAATGCTCCAGCTCCCATGTAGGAGGCCATGCTTATGACCAAGAAACTGTTGTGTTCCTGACAATAGCCTATGGAAAGAAGGATATTTCTAGACCCTGACTATGTCTAAACCGGCTGGTCTGGCATTTCTATTATTTTCCATCAGCTTTTCTGATCAGGAGGAAACTAAAAATTTACTCATGCATTTTGCAATGACATTAAGATGTATGAGGGGAATCCCATAAGTAGGGCTGGGTGATAAAACGATAACGATAATCGTGATATATTTTTTCCTCAAAACAATATGAAGAGTTCGATAAATGGTCGATGTAATGTTTATTTATAATGTTTCCGCCAAACGCGGAAGGAAACAGCGTTACTCATTTGAACCGCGACACACGGAGCATTTATCTGTGCGGCTCAAAGTTCAAACAGCAGCGCAGCGCGAGCTCACTAGAGCAGATGATGAGTCTCGGTCACTCGACACTAAACAGCGCTGTGAGATCCAGTGTGAAGCGCTTGAATTCAGTGAAGAACACAAATGAGTTGGTGATTTTAATTTGAAGCCAGATGAAACAGCGAGACAAACAGGAGAAACACTGTGAGCAACGATACAGTCAGAAGACTTTTCAATCTACATATCGCCATCATTTACTATGGATTTACTGTAACTGCACCATGGTATTCTGGCGGAAATGTGGGATATTCATATTGAATTTTATTATATTATTTATGTAGGCCTGTATTAAATGTATTAAAGGAGTAATGGAATGGAATTACAGTATTTTTTTGTGATTTAAGCTATAGCGTTTGTGCATTTATACTTAATGTATTTTCATACAAATAGCGTTACCTAGAAACCATAGTTACATAGTTAAATTTTTACCATGGTATCGAGGTGGTATATGTGTGGTTTTAACTGTGGTTATCATGATCTAAATGTTTGCTACTGTGGAAGACCAATGGTTAATTTTAATAAAACTCAGTCAGAATAATACATTTCACCATATAAATATGAGGTTGTTACAATTTTTACAGATGTTACTGTTTTTGATAATGAACATACATTTACATCTGCATCCTAATTTAAGCTACTACTGTCAACTCAAGCCATGGTCAAATGTGCTTTTCTAAGAGACAAAAATACATAATATTATTAATATTGCAGCCTGCACTGCAAACTGTTTTTATTGTCTATAAATATGTCTATATTGACATTTATTTTGTTAAGGAAAAATTACTAGAAAAGTGTAAAGAATTCAAAAATGTGAAGTGTTTGTCATGCTCTGACCATAAAGAGTAGTTTAAAACTACAATTAACAGTCTGGTTTCTACAACTTTCACTTAGGAGCAAAAATCTGCCTTTAAACCAAAAGAAATAAAGATTTGAAGGTTATTGTGGGTTACCAAAAGAAACCAAAAGAAATAAAGATTTGAAGGTTATCGACTGATATGAACAATTTTATCCTGACAGTTTTTTTGGCCATATCGCCCAGCCCTATGCAAAATTATTGTAAAATTGTATACTCCTGAAAACTCCCATAAAAGAGTATAGAAAAGCTTTGAATGTGTCTATAAACATATATACATATCATATAACCATATTAACCTGTTTCATGATTCGAAACAATTTATTACTTATTAGAACATCAAGAAACTTTTTTTTATCAATAAACTATTTTAAGAAAAAATGACAGGAAAAGTGTAAAGAATTCAAAAACGTGAAGTGTCTGTCATATTCTGATCATAAAGAGTAGTTTAAAACTACAATTAACAGTCTGGTTTCTACAACTTTCACTTAGGAGCAAAAATCTGCCTTTAAACCAAAAGAAATAAAGATTTGAAGGTTATTGCGATAATTATCGATATCGACTGATATGAACAATTTTATCCTGACAGTTTTTTTGGCCATATCGCCCAGCCCTATGCAAAATTATTGTAAAATTGTATACTCCTGAAAACTCCCATAAAAGAGTATAGAAAATCTTTTTATGTGTCTATAAACATACATATCATATAACCATATTTATATGTATAAATCAAAATATTTAATATACAAACGTTCTATCAAATTACTGAGCAACACAATATTTTAAAATATTTTTTTTATCTATTTAAAATCAACAGAATGCCTACACTGACCACATATGCATAGAGTAAAAGATCGATCTTGAATAAAATGAAGATTGATTAATTGGAAAAACAATATTTTACCCAGTCCACACAAGAAAGCAGATTTAGAACATTAAATAAAAAAGCTTTGCAAGAATACAGTGCCACAAAAATGTCAAGAGGACATAAAGGACTCCAAAAGAAGTAAATGAAACAAAAGTTGGTGTGAAATAAGACAAGCAGATGCGTGATGTGATTAGCATGAGACAAAAACACCTGCTTCTATCTGCAGAGAGTATATTGTCCGGTTTTCACTAGAAGTGTGTGCAAGCTCAAATGTCACCGCACCAGGGTGGAAAAGGACATGAAGGTATCAAGAGAAAGAGAGAATGGAAAAAGAGAAAGATAAACATGCTTATCCTAATCGAAAACACGACTACTCAACTACTCAAAGCCCTGGCTCCATCCTGTAGCAGGCGCAGCAGTGTATCCTTTAGTAAGTCATACACACACATGCGTACCGTGTATGCTGCTGCAGGTGGCTGAGCTGCCTGAAGGTTTTCTGGCAGTAGGAGCAGGTGTAGGGTTTGGCGCCGCTGTGGATGCGGATGTGCTGGGACAGGTAGCTGGAGTTGGCGAAGGATTTGGAGCAGTGAGGACACTTGTGCGGCTTCGCCTCCGTGTGCGACTTGGCATGAATCTGCATGTCTGATTTGTTGAAGAACGTCACCGCACACATCCGGCACCTACAGGGAAAAATAAGCATGTGCATTTGCATTCGAAATACTCACAAAATTATCATTTTAAAAACACTACAACACCCTTGACACTTTTGAAATCTTAAAACTGAAAATGTATCACATGAATGCCTTTTGCATTCCATTTATCATCTTTATAGACGCTCCCTTACAAGCTGACGGAAAATAAAGCGATATTTTTGTAAGGTGGCAGAAATGTCATGCAATTAGACTTAAAAGTTCAAATAAAAGCACTAATACACATAGTGTACTAATACACATATCAACTAGTGTCAGTGTGTTGCAATGTGCTGCAGTGTTTAATGCACACTCAAATTAATCAAGCCTGCAAATATTTAAGAAAATGGCTATTTATTTCTTAAGCAATAATATGCACCTGTATGACTTGTTCCCATCTTTGCCTGGATGATCATCCTCATCATTGGAAAGGTCATATGGGTCATTCGCGTTGTGCTGTAAAAGCGAAAAAATTAAGTGAGCATCTTAATATAGGTAAACTTTTACTTTTGCATCAGTCAACACCTTTAGTACAATAGACAATTTAGGGAAGCATGTTTTGAGAGTCTTTTTTAACAAACAATACAACTAAATTAATAAAGTGTCTCAGTTTGGTTTACTTCTCTCTATTTTAAGTTCTTTAAAAATGTTACCCCTTTTCTAAATTGACTTATCAGCGACAGCTTGTTTGGACAATAACACAGACCTGCATCTTGAAAAAAAAAACATCTGCTGATTACCAATAAAGTCCTAATATTACCTAATCTGATGATGCTGAGTTTAAAAATATCAATAAAAACTTTCCATCATGTACATTTTTTTTCACAAATTAAGAAATAATTATTTCAAATTACTTATATGTATCAGCTCTAATGCACTTACCAAAATAACAAGTAGGTTTCGTAATTTAATGACAAATAGAAGTTTTAAAAACGTATCATTTAACTTACAATCTGCAATGGAGTGGAAAAATATGCACAAATACATTGAATTTAATTACAATGAACTTTACATCAATTATAAATCATGTTTTTTGCCACAAAATCTGCATCATGTTTGCATTTTCTTCTGGGCTGATTTTGACAAAACATTTCTTCACATGGTTGCCAAAAGCTAAAACTCTACAAAATGCATCATATATTGTGAGAAAGTGTGACATGCTCGAGCAAAACAAGCACTGAATTTGGAAACAGAACCACAAAATTAGTAAAAAAAAAAAGCAATTACTGGATTTCATTCAGTGAATATGATGCAGGGCAGTGTAAGATAAACAATAACTTATTTACATAAAGGTAAAATGATGACGTCTCACCTGACCCCCAGCGGCCAGGTGTGCAAGAATTAGCGCATCACTTCCTGTGGCGAGTGCATGGGCTGAAACGAGACCTGCCCTTGGCATCATGGACTTCTTCTTTCTGCCCCGCTTTGAGGGAAGTGGCATGACTACGGCGGGTGGAATACTGCCGTCCTCTTTCTTGTCTGTTTGTGTCAGTGGGGCAAAAACACAGTAATATAATATTGAATATGAAACATAATCTGCATAATTTCTTCTTGCAACTCTGCATTCAGAGGATAAAGGCAACGTGTTTTAAACTTTGCTATCTTCAAAGCTATAGTCTGAAATGTAACGGTCTGACATCAAATCCTTCACACTGACATTGATAAACTCAATTATTTAGTAAACATTTCAAATAAATTTCAGTAAAACAGACAGAAATGTGCACTCAAACCTAAATATGCATTTGCTGGTTTTAAAGGTGCTCTATGTAATATTGACAGCTAACAGTTGAAATGGATACTGCAGTCCAAATTCAAAATATGAGAGATATTTGTTTCTCCCGACCCCTTCTTTTCAGACTCAACGCTCACATGGGCTCACAACGCTCACAGATTGTGGACACGCAACAGGAACAAGCACAAATGACAATGGAACTGTACGTTGTTGAGTTGATTTATCTGCGTTTTAATATTCCTCTCTTCATAGAGCTGTTTAGATGAATGCTGAGGCTTTTTAGGTCGGGTAGAAACGGCGATCTCTGACGCAATTCGTTTTTGGTCACCATGGCTGTAATACGCAGTGTTTCCCGCCAACTGGCAACCCGGGGTGTCGATATACTATTGGGTAAATTAGCAGTGGGCGGAATCACACAGACCAAAACAAAAACAAACATTCCGACACGGAACACACATTTCAAAGTCGAATAACTGGCGGCTGTAGCATTATTTTTCAAAGAAACAAGTATGTGAACTTGACATGTTTCCTAAATATCTGCAAACCTATTATAGAATTTTTATGCTTTAGTAGAGTCAAACAAATGACATACAGCACCTTTAAAGGTCTACCTTGGCAAACCATTGTGGTTTCCAAATGACTAATCTTATATGTCTGACCCAATTTTAAAGCCAAATGACTGTATTAAATGAAATAATTTCATTATTTTTTGAATTTTTAAAAATAACCAAAATCTAATCCAAGCAAGAAGTGGTGGTTACTGCTATTTCAAGTCAACAGACACCAAATTTAATAAAGTGTTATTTCACTGCATAAGTGTTTTAGTGATGTGAATGTGATTGACTGCAGGTTTCTGGTAGAGATGTACATGTGCTATTATACTTACAGTGGCTGTGGAGATAGAGGGAAGGGGGCCGGACAGCCTCTGACAGAAAAGAGCAGAACATTCTCAACATATAGAGCGCGCTGTCCCTCTCTCTATTCATCCATCATCCATCCCTTCTCACTACCTCCCACAGTCACTCTCACTTTCACTTCCTACAGCTTCTTTGGCTCTCAGACTGGCTGAGTAAGCAAGCATATGTGTGTGTGTGTGCTGCTTTTACAGTGAAAGTGACATGAAAAACAATTATGAGAATAATCAATATTCTGCAATGTGTGGTGTATTATCTGTTGTTATATAAGAAGGAAATGCTCAATCAAACACAAGCTCTTAATATTATGACTCATGAATTATGAATCATTTGTGACTAAGAAATGCCTATATAACTGTCACTATTTACTGTGCAAAAATGGAGAGCTATGAATTTTGCATAATAACAGGACCATCATTTTGAAGTAACTGTGTGCAAGAAAAGTGAAATTTTTACAAAGCATGTTTGTTTGTTTTTTTGGCTGTAGCAGACATTATACTTTTATTCAGCAAGGATGCATTAAATTGATCAAAAATGACAGTAAAGACATTCATGATGTTACAAAATATTTTAATTTCTAATAAAAGCTGTTCTTTTGGACTTTCTATTCATCAAAGAACTCTGAAATATAAAATCTATCAGTTTTCCGAAACATATGAAGCAGCACAACTGTTTTCAACATTGATAATAATCAGAAATGTTTCTTGAGCAGCAAATCAGCATATTAGAATAATTTCTTAAATTCAGCTTTGTATCACAGGAATAAATTACATTTTACAATAATATTCACATAGAAAACCATTATTTTAAACTGTAATAATATTTCACAATATTACTTTTTACTGTTTTTTGATCAAATAAATGCAGCCCTGTTGAGAAGAGACCACTTTCGAAAACTTTCAAATATCTTACAAATGTGTGTTATCGATAAACTGATAGATAGATCATTTTCTCATGAATAAATTCAAATGTAATGTTACTGTGAAGTTCTATACAAAATATTCTTAGTTCTAACATTCTTCTTTTGGTTTTACCATCATTAGTTTTACCAAGTATGGAAGGTACAAACTGCAGCATGTTAAAAATTTGTATATTTTGGAAGGGTCAGAAAGGGGCATAAAATTGTTTACCTGTGTTTGTTGGGTGTAAAGCGGACACAATCATGGTTGTTGTGGGTGGTCCAGAAACAAAAGACTGAGAGGAGGCAGGAGGAGTTACCAGTGCCCCTTGAGGAGTCGTGATCACTAACCCCGCTGAGAAACAGACGACAAACACATCAATTTGACCGATTCTGATAACCTCATTGCATTAACATTTGATTTCTGAAACTATATATATGTGTAAGGGCTAAAATTTGTCGATTCAATACAAGTACTCGATTTAAAAAAAAATCCTCGATTGCATTTTGCCTATGTCAAGTAAGCGCCAAAATACCAGAAGTGGCGCATTCCACGGACGAGAATTCATGAAACGCATTATTTTACCGTTTATCAAGGCTGCATCATATATTAATCCCATTTAAAAATCATAATAAAGCATAACGTTATTGTCAATTCAAAACGATACAATTGAATTAAATACATATATGCGATGCAGGTTTAATATATGTGCTTTAATTATTTACATGCGTGTAGGTTACGTACACTCACTGATTTTTCAAAACGTGGAATACCCACCTGCTGTCATGATGCCAGTAGACGTGACGGGCACCACCGTGATGTTCTGGGACGTGTGAGGTGGGTGCAGGTGCGCTCCCATGCCAGATATTTGCACCCCTGCTGTCCCGCTCGCTCCTCCTCCTCCACCCTCCTGCTTCGGCACCCTCCCACCCGTGTCCATGGCGACCGAGCCCGGCACCGTCAGCACCGCCGTGGGGTAGTGCGCCGCGGACGAGTGCGGAAAAGCAGTGCCCTTGTCCGGCCCTAGCTGCTCTTTCATCTTATTCAGAAACATGGCGTTCTCAATCTAAACTCGCAGGGGGGAATGAATGGAAAAAAAACAAGGGAAAGAAGGGAAGGAGGAAAGAGAAGAGGAGGATGGATTGAGAGATAAATGCAGATGAAGGATGAAGGGGAAGAAGGAATTGGCCAGCTATCCAGTGCGTTGTGATTGGCCGAATACCTCAAGGTTGAGACAGAAATGTTACGTCCCTTACCATATTTGGAATATCAGCTTTCATGGCAGCGACGGCAACAATACTACAGTAAGAATAAAAGTTACGCCTTCTTTTTTTGCGTTTACATTTGGGCGGTGTTATGCAAATCTCCCAACACAGTGACGTAGATTTGTGGGGGCGTGTTTAATTGAGGCGTTTTAGGAAGGAGTTGGATGAGTCTTAACTTTTATAAAGAAGATTTCTTTGGATTTGAGACTTTAATCTTTGCGACTTTACGGATTTTATATATGCACGAACAGCTTGTAACACTCCAAAAAGAAAGGAAAACATAAAATTGTCTCATTTGAACCCTTTAACAGTTTTGTTCAGTAAAACCATATGATTACTTGCTTTTGATACTTTATTTGAATTAATTACTATTGCCTCATTACTATTATAAATGTATTTTAAGTAATTTTAAAAGCTATTGTTCGCTTGGGTACATGCATGTATATATTTAAGAAACATATGTTACGTTTATATATGAAATATATTTATATGATATAAATGATATGAATATAAATATATACATGTAAATATTTTCAAAATATATGCTATATATATATATATACACACACACACTCCACTGATTTTTCAAAACGTGGAATACCCACCTGCTGTCATGATGCCAGTAGACGTGACGGGCACCACCGTGATGTTCTGGGACGTGTGAGGTGGGTGCAGGTGCGCTCCCATGCCAGATATTTGCACCCCTGCTGTCCCGCTCGCTCCTCCTCCTCCACCCTCCTGCTTCGGCACCCTCCCACCCGTGTCCATGGCGACCGAGCCCGGCACCGTCAGCACCGCCGTGGGGTAGTGCGCCGCGGACGAGTGCGGAAAAGCAGTGCCCTTGTCCGGCCCCAGCTGCTCTTTCATCTTATTCAGAAACATGGCGTTCTCAATCTAAACTCGCAGGGGGGAATGAATGGAAAAAAAACAAGGGAAAGAAGGGAAGGAGGAAAGAGAAGAGGAGGATGGATTGAGAGATAAATGCAGATGAAGGATGAAGGGGAAGAAGGAGAGAGCAGCGAGGGAAGGGTTACTTTTTCTGGATGCTGGTGCAGGGCTTCCAGTGTGTAACTTTCACATGGATCAGTGCGAGGCTGGTGTTAGCCATCCCGGACTGGTATGCTTGTTTTGCTTTTTTTGATTTACTAGATTGTGCTCTATAAGCATGGCATGTCCGTTAAAGACAAGGATGTACTGTACAAGAGAGTCCAATAATAAGTTGTCTACCTGTCCTTGCACTGTTGGAACGGGAGACCAAAAGTATGATGAGTTGAAATGGGAATCTTCCATTATTTCTGCAATTGAAAAGCAACATAACTTATAAAACACCCACTCTGCCTTTGGCAACACTTGTGAAATGACACCTCATCCTTATGTTTCTCCTTTGGCCTGAAGGTTTATTCACTCACTTGGACTGTACTGTATTCATTTGGGCACCCAAGTACCTTGCATAACATAAAAAGGCTTTTTTTCCTAATATGTTCTTTGAAACACCTGCCAAATATTATGCACCTTCATCCTTTTGACAATTGTGATTTATTTCTCTTTATTGAAGCAAAGGACTTTGGAGCATCTTTCAGGTGGATGTTTGGCAAAGAGCATGTTGGGTTAGGAATCACAATGCATGCACTACCCAATGTGTAAAACACAACTGACATGCATAAAATAAAAATGCATGCATGCCAACTCAGCCTGCACAATACAGGAAAAAAACTACTTGAACCAGCCTAAGATTGTTTGCTGGTCTCTCAGTCTAGCCATTTGGTACTCTGCTGATTTAACTTGTTGGCCAACTATAGTTCAACAGACTGACCAACTAAAACCTTTTAATCTCAAGATGAAATGTTAGAAGTAACAGATATTTTTTTGTTTTGTTTTGTTATGCACATTGAAATTTGTGTTATTTTAGCATCATTGATACACTTTTATAGCACTGAAATTTCAGCCGCCGAAAATGGCATTTTCGGTTTTCAGCCGAAAGAGAAAAACATATTTAGCACACAAGTTGCACTCTCCCTCTAGCCATTGTCACTGCGCTTTGTGATGCTCCGCTCAATATTCCGCTCTGGTGTTCCACCAGGGTTGCCAGATCTGCTTAACAAAGCTCACCGAATGGCCAATCAAAAATAGCCCAAAAGTAGCCCAATGACCATTTTCTTAATATCAAAACACAACTCAAGGGCTCCTTACTAATGACCTCCTTCACAAACTTAACATCTACCGCAGTATTACCACTGGTAGAATATAAAATATTTCAGTACAAGCATTTTAGTCAAATATGCTTTATGCAGTACTTCAAACCATTAACCCACGGAGGAAAAACCAACCCACAGCAACAGTTTAAATTCTGCAGGAAAACCACGGACTTGGCAACCCTGGTTCCGCTGTGCTGTAATATGATGTAGTACAGCTGTACTGAGCTACGCTGGTAAAATGACGCTACCCTCTCGTGACGTTATGCACTGCTCACTGCTTTGTATAAGGACTATACAGGACTATACAAAGGACTATACATTATTTGAAAAATTAGTTTAAAAAAAAGTTTCATCTGATTCTGTTGCATAGAACTAAATAAAAAGAATATATTGATATTTAATATTAATATATATTCTGTCCAGCTTTATTGTGTTACTTTCAATAAAAGTGTGGTTATTTTATTGGCTTTTTTAAATTCACTATCATTAAAATTGAGTTAAATTAAAAAGTCTTACAAAATAATTTTTTATTATTTAATAAATCAATAAATAATTATTACAAAGCGGTTTCCGTTGGGAATTTTTGGCCAAATGCATCCAGAATTTTCAAAGTGTACAATTGTGATTGCTGTGTAAATGCATTAATTCATCCTCTGAAGGGAGAAACTTTAGTCTTTGCAACTTTACAGATCTTCTTTATGCACCAAGAGCTTGTAACACTCCAAAGAGAAAGGAAAAATTGAAATCGCATCATATGACCCCTTTAAACAGTGTGTAAAGACACCTAAATGCCACTTCAGAAATGCTTCTGTGCCATCTTTGCTGTTTAAATTTCCCATTAGGAATTATTATAATTATAATAATAATAACCCTGGTCCGAAATGTATCAGATTACCAAAAAAGAAAAAAATGCAGTAGCCCCTCACTGCAGAACAAAGATCCAGGGGGCGGGGTTGGATCCACATCTAGGGGGTGGAAATGGTAGGTTTAGGGGTGGAGATGGGTAGGTTTAGGGGTGGAGATGGGTGGGTTTAGGGATCAGGGGGTGGAGATGGGTAGGTTTAGGTATATGTAAGGTGGGAGGAGTTGGATCTGGATCCAACCTCGCCCCCTGGATCTTGTGTTCTGCCGTGAGGACCATCTCAAAAAATGTAGGGCGGGATTTAGTTCTATGCATGGGTTGGTGATTGGATTTTGAGTGGGCGTTGCACTCAAAACAGAAGACATGAATGTGAGCTTGCGGGGGTGGAGTTTAGGTGGACTAATGATTGGAGAAGTCCTGCATATGTCACCAGAGAAAAGTCTGTCATTTTCACCTGAGGGTCCAGTTTTATGACATTTTGATTACACATTACAAACACATACACAGATGATCTGTTTACAATAGAATCTGTAATACGCATTTAGAAAACAGATCAAGTTTCATGCCAACTTTAAACCAGCCAACAGACCATTCTGACCACACTGAGGAACCAGCGGAGCTTTTTTTTCAGCAGTGCTAAATTAGTATAAATTTGAAAGAAAACAGTTATAAAAAGGGTAAAATAAAACATAACACTTTGATGTTTTTTTTTTATAATTCATTTTCTTTACACACACACACACACAATTTGCATGCACGAGATGCAGAACTTGCATGGAGATTCGCGCGCGCTATAAATAGGCATCAAAACAAAAGCATCGCCTCGCGATCCTGCCAAATGTATCTGCGACTGCCGATCATAAAAAAAAAAACAAAGCAAATGTGCAGAGCAGACCTCTTAGTCAACTTCTGACATAGTCTTTAATTTCGTATGCACGCCTAAATAATATCAATGGAAGCGAAAACGTCGCGTTTTAATTTCTTTTTTAATGGTTGCATGCGTGTTTTGCTGCAATGACAGCTCATTTGGCATGTTTCTATCTAACGGGACAATGTTAACAGCATATGCATCAGGAAAGGTAGCTGGAAAGGCATAAAACCATCCATTAATGATATCAGGGCTCCTCAACCAGCCTCCATTAAAATGTCAGCTTTTGTTATGCACGCAAAGAAAGAAGCACTATCTAAAAGCTATACAACATGTAAACTTCCGCTTGCAAACAATAATGCCCCTATGCCTCCATCCCTCTCTCGGTTAGTCTCACTGAGAAAATAAAATAGAAAAAAAAAACTCGAGGATAAAAAAAAACCGAAAAGAGAAAAAAAAAGCCGTCGACGCCAATGCGAGAGAGACGCAGCTTCATGCAGACTTCCGGCTGGCGAGACATGGGGAGAAGCGCCCCCGTGAGTTGCTCAAATTTGGAGAAAGAATTCACAATTGACTTATAACTCTGTGTTAATTACCGGTGCTGGCGATTCCCCTTCAACCCCCAGGGCTCCTCCGGGCCGGGACAGTTCGGAAACTTCGTCCAAATCCGCCCGAACCCCTTGGATTCACCGATTTTTTTCCCCTCAATTTTTTTCTATTTTTTTCTCTCGCGAAGGGCTGTCCGACTCCGCGCGACTCCACTTCCTGTGAATGAGGTCAAAATGATCCAAGCCTACCGCCAAAATCACTTCCGCCATGTGAGGTCATGTGTTTTTCTCCAAAAATAATGTTCACAAATAAATGGATTTGTGTCATTGTAATTTACATTTTATCAAAGTCATAAAAAGTGCATGTTACTCGTTTTACGTTTAACTGTGAAATAAGAAATCGCCACCTCTCATCAATTTTATGAGTATATATATGTATGAAAATTTCTATGAAATATGAGTGCCTTTTCAATTCTTGTGGATATATGGTGCTTTAATACTGTGCATTTAATAGCTGTTTTTATTTTGTGGCTTTATATTTGTATTACAACAAGCTATTTTATTTAAATACTTATTTGTTATATAATGTATTTTTAAATAAAACTATTTTTAAAGTTTACATTTAATTGTACTGCTGTCTTTTTGCAGATTTGACAAATAAGTTAAAACCCCACTCTAATAAAGCCCCTCCCCCGTGCCTTTTATGGCTTTATATTTGTATTACAACCTGTTATTTTACTCATGTAAGTACTTATTCTTTATATAATGTATTTTTAATCATTCCTTTTTAAAATGTTTCCTATACATTTAATTGTAGGCTACTGCTTTCTTTTTGCAGTTTAGACACATAAATTAAACACACTTTAATAAAGGCTGTTATGGAAAAGAAGACTACTGGTGGTTTAGTCATATTTAAAAGTATCATTGCATTTTTTCAACATTTATTTGTTTTGTTAAAAAAAATATGTAAAACTAATCTTATAAAATTATTTATGCATTTAAAATTTGGCTGCGTGATAGCACAGGGTTTGTTGATCCCGCTCTCGCTGAACTTCTAACCACTACCGCATGCTCCCATCCGCTCCCGCGATTTCTGTGTCCGCTCCTGCAAACATTCTAATTGTATATAATTTTCGCGCTTCAGGGCGCCGCTATATATATGTGGGGTATTTAAATCGCATTTGAATGAGCGCTCGCAGTCGCAGTTCACTTTCGACTTCGCGATCGCACGCGCACTGTGTAAAGGGAGCACATCCCCACAGTGGGTTAAAGGTGAAATATTGCATAAATTACATTTGGTTGAAATGCTTGTACTGAAAATTTTGCATTCTACCGGTAATAAAACTGTGCTAAATGTTTTGGGCCACACTAGTAGGAGGCATGTGAGCTGTGTTTATGAAAAATGTGCATAACAGTGACTGTAAAATATGTATTTTAAGGATGGAAATGACATTTTTATATTTGGGACATAATTGCGCTACTTTGGGCTGTTTTTTACTGGCATGGGCTTGGGATGCACAATTAAAATGATGTAATAGTTGTGATCATTATTTTACCTTCCATGATCATTCAGACA